CCCAGTTAGCGTCCGCAAATTAGATAGTTGGGTGTGTTCTCACTGGTAAAAAAACAAAAAAGGTGTTTTGCTGTGTGCCATGCTTACGCCTACATCCGCGTTCAATAAAGACGACGAGCAGCAGAGAGCAGGCATCCGTTTATCTCTCGAGATAATGGTAGTGCCCTGTTTAGTCAAAATTCAGTCTTTTAGTGTCGAGACTGGAGTGACCTCTACAGGGCGATGGTATATATATCGAGAGCGTGCGCTACCCAGACCACGTGCTCACTTCTCGACAACTGAAAACATCAACGGTATTCACAAAGAAAACGCAAAGAACACATACATGGTTGTTGTTCGATTATAGGTAAAAAAAAATGGCAAGGATTTTGATTGATGATTTTCAGTATAGGGAGGTGTATAAGAAGTGTGGGCCTTCCCCATTTAAAGCGTAATATAATCTTCGTAACCTGTCTTTTCTTCACAATTTTAATAAGGGGTGGTGCTTCACATACCCCTCCCTCTCTGAGTTGTGACAGTCAATACAGGTAAAAAATATGGGACCATCCTGTATTTCTTTAAAAACTACCTTAAGATGAGATATTTTTGTATTTTTTGAAGTAAAGGATAAAAATTTCAGTAGCTATAATTTATTTGCTTTTACTTTGACAAAAAAATAAGCACTTACCTATAAAAATCATTATACAACAGCATCATATTTTGTTTTCGTCAATAAAACCACCACCTGCCTTAATTACTGCTGTATAAATTCTTGACATTCCTTCCAACAGTTTTTAAAAAGAAGTAGATGGCAGATCTTCCAAAGCATTCTTTAAGCAATGAAAAAGCTCATTCGCACTCTTTGGGTATTCTCTTCGAATTCGCTAATTCAATTCATCCCATATTAATTCAATGGGAGTGAGGTCAGCAGATTGAAGGGGTCAAGTCATAATTTCTAAAATTTTGTTCTTTTTCTTTTAACTCGAGGAAATTTTGACATAAATTAGAAGAGTATTTTGGATCGTTGTCTTGTTAAAAGGTGATTTTTTTCTCCAATTACGCTTAAACAAAATGATATAGCGTGTCTTCAAAATCGAATGATATTGTTCTTTTTTCATGATTCTCTTGACCTAAATCAAATCTCCATCCTTCTCTTCCCTCCTCTAAAATCATCCCCACACCGTAACAGACCCACCATCATGCTTAAATGTTCAAATCACACATTCATCATTCACTTTTTCTCCTATCTTTCCTCTCGCATACACTTTTCACTTACTAATCTTCTGAACTTTTGGCAGTAAGAGGATCCTAGAGAACGACTGGAAAGCAAAAGCAAATACACTGTAGTTACTGAAATTTTATATTTTACTTTAAAAAATGAATGATAAGAACCAATTTTCGCAAAGCCATCGTAATGACGAACGTATCATCATAATTAATCATTATGCAAATATATCATAGCAGGTGATGAAAAATGGGTTTCATACGACAAAGTTCAACTCAAAAGGCGGTGGATTAACAAGGAAAAATCTCCACAACCAACCGACAACTATGAAAGAAAGGGGAGGTTGTGCAGGTGGTGGAATCGTCGGGGTATTATTCACTTAGAATTCTTAAAACAATGAAACACTAAATGCACAATTATACGCCTGGCAGTTACAACGTGTCCATAAACGTTTGGTTGAATATGACCTTGCGCTCGTCAATAGGTAAAACATTGTTCTCTTTCTTCTATAGCAACGCAAGTCCGCATACACCAAGAATAGTACAGGAAAAAGTTAGAACTTGGTTGCTCTATTCTTCCCAACCCGCCATGTTTACCTGACCTTGTATAACCGATTACTATCTTTTTCAATCGCTGCAAAACTCTTCGATGAGGAAAACTCCTTTACTTACATTATTTACATTATTCGGACTGTTATCCTCATCTTCATTGCCATATTCACAACGTTTCAGCCGTTTTACGCCCTGTCCTTCTTCAGGGGATTGGAATTTCGAACCGAACTCTTTACTTCGTCCACCAAGTAGCTCTACATGCCATGTCTCTTCCGGATGTCTCAGTTATTTCCCTTTAACTCAACTCTCCAAGTTTTTGGTTCACCACTGCTGTAATCTGGTATTGAACTCACAACTCTTTGGGTCTAGTCACTGGATCTAACCAATGCCTTTATCCACCTGATAAAGACGTTGGATAGAATAATGTAAATAATGTAAGTAATCATAATCCCTAATCTCAAAGATATAGATAGAAAATGTTTTTATACTGAAAACCAGATTCAAGTATTTAAAACTTTTACACATCAAAACTTGCAGAATTTTGCTCCGAAGGTATCGAGGATCTGCTTGATAAGTGGTAAGAAGTTATTGTAAATAATGGCGAATAAATAATTGAATAAAATTTTAATTGCACTTTATTTTTGGAATAGTAAAGTCAACTGGAAAGATATGAAAAAATCACGGTTTTCCTATTTAAATAATCTGATGAATCTTAATTCTTCAGCTAACCATTGAATAAACTCATGGCAAGTTCTATGACAATAAAATATCCGTAGAAATTCTTTTATCGCATCGTTAAGATATTTAAGCTTAACTTTAACACAATATTGCAATAACAATCAAAAATACGAATTCTGGTCGTTATTTTAAGAAGTGGGTGCAAATGAAAAATTTGAAATTTACAACTTTTCCTATTTTTCCATTTCATTGAAACAGCCGTTAAACATTTCTTTCTTTCTTTCTTTCTTTTTCTTTTTTTCTTTCTTTCATGTCTTAGTTTTTCTACGCAATCAAAATGGAATAGTGCATCATTTATGAAGTATTGGCAGGGCATAACGGTCGTGCAAACTAACAAAGTGAAGGACAACCACAATTATAATAGGATAAGCAAAACCAGAAATTATTTATGACTCAAACGTTAATTTCTCACCAATTCCAACGATCGTTGTCTGAACTGTTTCGCTTTTTGACGTTCCTCTTTAACAGGCACATAGAATAAAATATTTCGGCTTCCTCGGCACTGGGTACCCCATGTTTTGTGCCTTCCAAACTAAACCCGGCTTAATCTTGTATGGGCACCTAAGCGGGCGTTATGGCTAACAACTCAAACAGATTAACCATTACTACAGAGTAGTGAGTTGGATGCTGACTGGGTGTCCCAAATTTGAACCAGAATAAGGTAAGCTTAGTAAACCATTACGACTGAATAGTGAGTTCGAACTTAACCGGGGCCCTATATCCATGACCTTGAGTTAAACTAATCTATGCTTAGTAAACTATTTCAATTGATGCTCACTTGTTGATCCCTACTTTTGAGCTTGTGCCAAACTAAGCTAAGCTTAGTAAAAATTTCTATTGAGCAGTGCAGATCGATCCTCGCTGAGTGGCTCATATTTGAGACCAAAATATAAACTAAGCCGACGTTAGTAAATAATTGGTATTAAGTGGTAAGTTCGATCACACAATTGGGGTCTCCATGTTTGTTGTTTTGTCATAAACTAATCTAAAATTAGTAAACAAATCGTGAGGTCGATGCTCATTGGGTCACCTTGAGGAAAACTAATTCAATCCTCATTGAGTACCACATACTTATGTCCTTGTGCTAAATTAAGTCAAACTTAGGAAACAGTTACTGCTGAGTCTCGATCCCCTCTATTCATGGCCTTGTGCCAATACTTATTTGAGCTTAGATAAATAAGATAAATATTAAATAGATATAATTCAAAATTAAGTTTAAAATATTGATACAACAAAAAAGAAAGACTGTGCTACGCCAATCTACCAAACTGGGAGAGAGGGTCTCTCTAGGTATTGTAATTTCAGCACTAAAAATCTTGGCTTTTACCAGGGATCGAACACCGAATAGTGAACAGAAAAAATCAGTAATTCTAAGTAACTTATTATTTTAGGATTAGTTCATCTGACTCCAAGCCACGAGTGTAAAGCACTCAGTGAGGACATGAGAGATAGGTGTTCCATACCTTTTAACCTATCACATTGGGGGCTTCGCCGTGGAATAGTGTTTAGCATACTAATTTAAAAAGTTATTACTACTGTGGCATTCACAGCGTCATGGGGTGGGGGACTTCAACTCTTTTGACTTTTTGCTAAAACTGAAAAAAAGGACACATTATCAGAATAAAAATGAGGAAGGAGGGCTTGGAGAATGCAACAAATTACTCTGCACTTATTTCGATTAACCGTGTTACTTAGAACGATTACTTCACTACTTATGTAAATGTAAAAAGTTTCAGATTATAATAATGATTAACAGATGGCTATAAAAATGCACTGTTAATTGTTTAATGCTAATTTGTTTATTTGCGATACGTGGTAATTTTTATAAGTAAAATGATGCACTAAAATAAGTGTCCAAGTAACCGTTCTAAGTTCTCTGAATATCGGCACCAAAAAAAAAAAAAAAATACAGAATCTAGAGAGTTTTTTATAACTTAACATCTGATTCAGTTCCCAAACGTTTTATTTTGTGGCACAGTAGTTATGCGAGTTCGATCCTGTTCGCTGGTTTCCTCATACTTCTGACACAGTGGCGTAACAAAAATGAGTATATAAAATAAAAAAAAAACAAAAAAAAACAAACATAAATTAATAAATTAACTACGGCCACGTCCACTTCCGTGAAATACTTGGTATGGTTGTCTTAAGTACACACTGATTCAAATAAAAAAAGTGTACTGTAAATACACTTGTTGTCGACGGGCCGGTCGTAGAAGATGCTTCGGTAGAGCGCCGGTTATAGAGATCTCGATGGTTATAGGTTCATTCCTTGTCGATGTCACAGATATAGAGTAGTTTTCATACACACACACACACAAATACATGTACTTATATAGGGAAGTATATATATAGAGAGAGAGTGACGGTTGAGGGGAGATAGGTCCCATTCAGTATCAAACGCAAAGAAACCCGTAGATATGTGCTTCCTCGAAGTCTGATCGTAAAGTACACTGAAAACGAATAGTCAGCAGCAGCAGCAGTGAAGAAGAGGAAGAAGAAGGAGGAGGATGAGGAAGACTCCTCCTCCTCCTCCTCCTCTCTCGGTGTCTAACCCTTTCTCACCGCCTCCTCTTCTTCGTCATGTTTTCTTTTCTCTCCTTTTCCACCCCTCTTTCCTTTATTCTTTTTCTTTCTCGTCCTCCGCCACTCCTGCCCTCGACCCCAACGAAGAAAAAGGAAAAAATAAATAAATAAATAAATAAATAAAAAGGGAAAAAAAAAAAAAAAAATCATTTTTTTTTTCCCTCTCTCCTGCTGAGTTTGTCGGCCGTCACAAACCAGTCGGCAATGCACGACATGGAAACACCACTTGATGTTTTGTCAAGGGCTGCTTCTCTCGTGGAAACAAACAATAGTAAGTATTTTTTTCTCCCCCCTTTTTTCCTTTAAAAAAATTCTTTCTCGTGCTTAAAAAACAAAATCTTTATAATACTATTATTATTATGATTATGATTTAATTTTTACTCTATTTGACGACCCCCTTTCCAATTCTTACCGAGGGTCGTCAACGACAACCTGCTTTTTTCGTTTTTTTTTTTGTTGATTTCAATGAAAGAAACTTGATGAATTTTTTTTTTTTTTTTGTAACTATTCATAAGGAAAAATTGGTAACATTTTTCATCACACCCCCAACTTGCAGATCGGTTAAAAAAAAAGTTTTTCTTTCATTTTTTTATTTTATTTCTTGATTTTTCTCCGTAATTTCTTTCTATCTACTATGGACTTCTTTCTTTTTTTCTTCTTTCATTCCTTTTTTTTTTTTTTCGCGTTCTTTCTTTCTTTCTTTCTGTTTTTTGTGTTGTTTCTTCACGTCCTTTCTTTCTTTCTTTCTGTTTTTTTTGTGTTGTTTCTTCGCGTCTTTTCTTTCTTCCTCTCTGTTTTTGTGTTCTGTTTCTTCGCGTCTTTTCTTTCGTTCTTTCTTTCTTTCTTTCTTTCTTTCTGTTTCTTCGCGTTCTTTTTTATTTATTTCTTCCTTCCTTCCTACCTTTCTGTTTTACTGTTCCGTTTCTTCGCGTTCTTTGTCTCTTTCTTACCGTTTCTTTCTTTATTATCGTTTCTTTTATTCCTTTCTTCTCTCTCCCTCTTTCTTTCCCTACACAATATGATTTCAAAACAGTTCTAAATTCCTAAGATTAATTTAAAATTAACCAGTCACTTTCCCATGCCGCGCTATGTAACTTCACTTCTTTCTTTCTGAAATTTTTTTTACTTTACTGCTCACGTATTAAAAAAATGCAACCGGGTAATTAAACAAATAACTTCTTAGACCATTATTTGAATACCGGACAGACTCTTTGAAGAATACTATATTGAAAATCTTCCTCTTTCTTTTATATTCCTTTCTTTTTATATACAATGTTTTTAAATGTAAGTTATATCATAAATTTTGACCGCCATCCTTGCTTTCTACAGCTACAACGTGGTCAATGTGTTGTTATGACTTTTTTTCAAGTAACCTTAAACTTTTTTTTAAAGTCTGTTGCACGTTTCATCAAGAAAAATGTTTTTGAAATTCTGTCTAGCAAAAAATAACTTTTTTTAAAAAAATTTATTACCTTTAAAAGTGTATTAATTCGCTTACACAAAAAAGTCACTTAGTGGCTATATGGCCTTCATGACGGTACAATATTTTATTTTCAAGTTTAATGACTGATTCAAGCGTTAGAGAGTCAGTTTGGTCGCACTTAAATAAAAAAAAGAACAAAAACAAAAAACACCGTTTACTTTATTTTTATCCTTTGCTAAAGTTATTTTTTTTTAAATGATATGACATTTTATCTAATTTCGTCTTGATAAAAGTGAATGTGTACAAAATTAAAGTATCCACCAAGGCTAAGTAATTATTTTGAAATGTAAAGGTATATAACACTAAAACACTAAACACTAAACAGTAACACATACCGCACCAAATGACCTCGCCTGGGAAAACATTGGCAAAAGAAACTTTTGTTTATTTTACTAAATCACGTAACATCCACCCCAGACATGTCATAGGGTTTTCATTTTTATTTCTTGTGAGCACTTGGGAAATATATTGAAAAAAAGCCCCATATTTTTTTTTTTTTTGTAAAAATGTACTAATTTGGGAGCATAAAAACATTTTTAAAATAAAAAATGTCTTTTTGAGATTACCTTCTGAACAAAATGAAAAAAAATACCTTCCAGACGTCAGCATTACTAAAAAAAATCAGTTAAGGAATGTATTGGAATTTTAAGGAGGCTTGCAATCATTTCATCTCGAGTAAAAAAAGCCACCAGTTGATACTCATATGAGAACTCAATATACACATTATTATTATTATTATTATTATTATTATTATAACCAACTGGTAGAACCCAGCAAAATGACTAAGAAGAAATATTTATTCGGAATTTGAAAATTTTCTCTTTCAATTGGTCTTTTTTTAGTCCTAGCTACAAATTTTCTGAGATGTAAAGAAATGTTTTGTTTCTCTCTTTTTCTCTCTCTCATACACTCTCTATCTATATCAGTTCATATATCTGTCTCATTCAATACATAGCTGTCTATCTATCTCATTCAATACATAGCTGTCTATCTATCTCATTCAATACATAGCTATCTATCTGTCTCATTCAATACATAGCTGTCTATCTATCTCATTCAATACATAGCTGTCTATCTATCTCATTCAATACATAGCTGTCTATCTGTCTCATTCAATACATAGCTGTCTATCTATCTCATTCAATACATAGCTATGTATCTCAATCAGTACATAGCTATGTATCTCAATCAGTACATAGCTATGTATCTCAATCAGTACATAGCTATGTATCTCAATCAATACATAGCTATGTATCTCAATCAATACATAGCTATCTTTCGCAATCAATACATATCTATCTCAACAATCAATACATATCTGTCTATCTCAATCAATATATATCTCAATCAGTTCATATCTATCTATTTTTCTATCTCACAGTTCATATCTATCTCAATCAGTTCATAACTTCATATCTATCTATCTATCTATCTCAATCTGTTCATATCTATCTATTTCAATTAATCTCTATCTCCCCACCTCTCTGTGTATCTATCTATCTATCTATCTATGTCTTAAAATTTAGCAAAGCCGTTCATAGAATTATCATTTATGACTACCGGCAAATCCGAGCGAGTATAGCTCGTTCCCATAGAGAACAAAAAAGCCCTAATTTCGAGAAAAAAAACAAAAAGTCCTTCTCATTTCGTAGTCAGTCCTGTACTGATCGACGAGTTTCATAAATTTGGATAATTTTTTCTTGGGAACTGCTGGTACGGATTCTTTGTTTTTTGTTTTAACAGCGAAACTTTTTAAATTAAAAAAAAAGAAGCTATCAGCCGATCAAAAGCAATCAAACTCCTACTACTAACTAAAAGTTAAAAGTAGTACTACGACTAGAGAGTTCAATCGTTACACTTTTTGCTTCCTTTACCGCTATTCTAGCCACCACCAAAAATTAAGTTCCTGTACAACAGTAAGAATAAGAAGAGTAAGACTAAGGAAACTTGCTGGCACTTCATCTTATTCTTTAGTGAGACCGACTACCTACGAATAAGCGTGAAAAATAAACGAATAGTGATGACAGTATTTCACTGCTAGAGTTTTTAAAAAAGCCACCAGAATTTGTGTGAATATTGAAAAAAAAATTATGAATTGGGTATTACTCTACTGCTAAATTAAAAAAAATGGTGGAAATATACAATAACCACTGCGACTCCCAAATCTCGAATATAAAATAATTAAATTTTAAAAGTTAATACTAATTAGGAGGTATCAGTTTGCTATGTAATTATTGTGTAAATTATCCCCACACCCACCCCTACGTAGTCAAAACAAAATAAAATATGCTGCTCATGCTCATACCACGTGATTTGTTAAAAACTGATAAAACTACAAGAAAACAATATAAAAAAAATGAAACTCGTCACCTGGATTTTTTTCGTTATTATTTTACAATCGATTAAGCAGTCCAGATATTACGAATTTAAAAAAAAAAAAAGATAATTTTAAGCAATCACGTCGTATTTTTTTGGCTTCCGTAGGGGGGATCAATTTACAATGGATTTGCATACCCCCCCCCCCCAGTATTAATTCTTATAAAATTTTATTTTAATTTAATTTATTCATTTTTATATTTAAGACCTGGATTACTTTAAATCTAAAAAAAAAAAAAAAAAAAAAGGATTATTTCTGGTCGCAGTATCTATTGTACAACTCAACCTAATAAATTTAATTACAAAAAAAAAAAAAACACACTTAGGAGAGGATTAAGAAGGAGAGTTTTTTTTTAGTAAAAAGTAAAGTAATTTGTCAGGTGAACTCCAGCGAAATTCATACAAAGATACGACCTGTGTGGATAATTCAAGAAGCACAAAAAAATATTAGTTTTAAAATTTAGGGCAAAATAAAAATAATTTACAAACTTATTTATAAAATTTCATATGACATTTTTGCTTATTAAAAGAAAACGGAATAATTTTAACTTTAAAATTAAATATAAAAATAAATTCTCAAAGAAATCTAAAAAAAAAAAAAGTCTATCAAAATAATTACATGATAATTTTTGTTTTCATTCATTTTGTTTGATAAATAAATTATTCCACAATTAACTTTAACGACAAATTATGCTGTAAAGATAAAAAATAAAATTTTAAAAGATAAAAAAAAAATGTTTAAAAAGACTTTTGTATCATCTCTGCTTAGGCAACACGTGGTCTTATTCTTCTTGTGTAGGAAAATATAAATAAATATTTCCCTTTCCATTGGTTGAAATAAACAGTTGTACAGAGTTTCAACGTGGTTTGAACCGTGGGAGAATCTTTCTGTATTTTCTTTCTTTCTTTCTCTGAAACACATTTAAAATCTTTATATTTTTTGTTTTAATTAGGCTATTTTGTACCTTCTTCTTTTTTACTTTCTTCTTATCTCTCTATAAACTGTAGTTATCTGAGCTGAGGCTCACTCCATTAATTTAATTACTACCTCTCTTTTTAGATTTGACGCAACTTTCTTTCTTTCCTTCCTTCCTTCCTTCTTTCTTTCTTTCTTTCTCTTGTCTTTATTTAACTTTTTCGTGTTTACCCACCCGGTTCCCCTTTTCTCTGTATACGCGTCTATATCTATCTATCTATCTATCTATCTATCTATCTATCTATCTATCTATCTATCTATCTATCTATCTATCTATCTATCTATCCTTTTCTTTCTTTATTTTCTTTTCTCGTCAATCTCACTTTTTCTTTTTGAGTTTCCTTAAGTCTGTTCCTTAACTTCCCACCCTTTTTCCTTCTTTCTTACTTTCTTTCTTCCCCTAAGTAAAGTTGTTGCTTTTTGACTACACAATCACCTGGAATTTAGACCCTAAAAATATTTAAACGTCGAAACGATATTTCTCAACATTCAACAACAATAATAAAATAAATTACAATATGTATGTGCGTGTGTGGAGGGTGTCCAATACATGCTCAAAAAAAGAAGAAAAACTAAGTATTTAATTTTAAGTTATCTAAATTTTCACCAACTGCAGTTAACGACGAACTACCGCCTTGAAATTCTTTGCATATTTTCCCGGCTGCGTGCTTTTAACAGTCCAGACCTTCACGAGAAGCCTAAGTCGTGAAAAACTAAATTCCAGTTCCTCTCCACGCTTTTTCCTTTCCCTCTCCAGCTACGTAAATAAAATACTTTCCTTTTTGAACCATGTGTATACACACACACACACACACACACACACACTGTTTAGTTTAGTGTACATGACATCTTTTCCTACTATATTGGGCTTTTTAAACACGAAGCTTTGACTGGAAATAAATAAGGCATCATTCCTTTCCTCAACTTGTGTAGGTAAGTCGTTTTGGAGAGGGCGCATTTTGTAATGCCCTTCTCAGAAATGCTATATCAAAAACAAAAACAAAAGGTTTTCGTCACTGGTTGTGGTTGGTGACTTTTGATGAAATGATGGAAATCAGTAACTCCCATTATTTGGACAAACCACACTTAGTTATAAAGTTCTTTGATTACGCAATTGCCAAAAAATGTTTTTTTTTATACCCACAGGCAAAAACTCGATTAGGTTCCAGTCATTGTACTGTAAAAAGAAAGTAAACAAACGTATACGTTCCCTCATTCACGACAACAGAATTATTTTCTGTGTGTTTGAACTCGCCGAATCGACTGGCGTTGAAATGACCTTTTCTCTAATATTTGAACAGAAAATGCAAATATTACAATACTTATTGTACAACAAAAACAATAATGCATTCATTATTAGTTTTTGTATGTTTTAAAGTTAGGTTTGTAAAATGAGGTTAGGTAAAAAAAATAATCAAGCTCATGTGAATGAATAGTCGTCTAGACGACACGTATATACGTCAGGGTCATATAGTGTGTCATCATGTAATGTAAACAGTGTTTGTTTTTCTTTTTTTTAGTTGTTGTTTATTATTTTAGTTTGTGTAGATGTTTTTACGTGGCTTCATATCCAAAAAACTCAGAATCATTCACATTTCAGCGATACTGCATACTAGATATCGGCCAGTTCAAATTAATTCCTAGTCTGTTGCTTTTACTTTCGCACAGATGTCCTCGGAAAAGATAATTCATCACTTCTGTTCTTCCACCCAACTATAGATTAAATCGCAGGATATCCCGAGCTCTCGGGTCTTGGTTGGCAGCCAGTCTAGGAGAAGAACTACGTTGCATTTAAAACCGGGTAAAAATCAACAGGAAACCACTCTGTCTTTTTCAAGACGTTAAGACAATTCATAGATAATAAAGAAACAAAATTTGTAGTGAGCCACGCATTACCGTCCTTAAGATTAAGAGATATGACATTAAAAAAGTTCAGTGTTTGTGAACATTTTTTAATGTTACGTCTACTCAGTGCGTAGACGTATCTTCACAGATTCTTTTCTTTAATATTTGTGAGTTGCCATTACTTCTTCGGAAAGATAGTGAAGAGGTTGCCTTCGCCATCGTTTTCTCCTAGATGGCTGTTACCCTAAGCTAGAGATCCCAGTTTACCCTGTTATATATTTAGAGTCTTTTTAGACCATATCTGGAGGGAGTAGAAATGGATTCATGCATTTCCTAAAAACATTAGTACGAAGTGTATGCAACTTTGCTTGACTCCATTTTGAGCACCGATAGCCGTTACGCAAGTCGCATATCCCCGGTGGACAATAAACAAAATTTTAATAAAGTTTCTCCAACCTTGGTAGAGTCCAAAAGCGTCTCCGATCCCTTGTGGGTGACAGATTATTCTCCACCCTCTAACCTCTGTCCCACAGGCGGGATGTGGCAAGCCTTTCGCCGCTCTGACTCTCTGCCGCTACTTCCACGGAAAGTGCTCGGAAGAACTACATTCCCTGGCCCCGCCAATTCAAACCTTCACGGCAAGGACACGCCATGCCACTTACATAGTAGGTTCCAATCAAACAGCTTCTTCCCTTGAACTACTGCTCTGTGGAACGGACTCCCAAGAGGATGCTTCCCCGAGCACTATAATCTTAATCTCTTCAAGGTTAGGGTTAACCATTATCTTCCACTCATATTCGCATAAATTGCCTTCTAACGTAACATTCTACCTCGAGTGGTGCTCAGGCCTTGTAACGGGTAAACCTTATTGTTAAAAAAAAAAAGCAAAAATGAAAAATATTTTGTAAAGCCAGAAATTGGCAAAACATATTCTAAATATAAACAATATTATTTTTGTAATTCATTTTTCTTTGGAATATTCTGGAATATTTTTTTCATTTTGAGTTGTTACTTCTTTTATGGATAACAGATCTTCAGGTAAGGCACCTTCAAGTTACAATTTTAATATGTTCTTTTTTTTTTTCATTTCTTTTCCCTAAACCAGCGTTTCTCAACTTTTTTACCCTTGCGCAACCCTTAAAATAAATCTCATGTCTCAAAGAACCCCTGCGCAAAAACAAAATTATATACCAGATCTTTCTCATTTTATTTTCATCGTAGTTCACGTGGTAAATATCATAGTATATATTTTTGAATTAAGGAAAAATTAATACTTCTTTTCGGTAATTTTTCGATAATTCATACTGTTCGTTTCTAATACTTCATCAGGGAGTTTTCATTCACACAAAAAAATTAAATAAAAAGTCAAAAGTACATTAGCTTATCTCACCTGTTCCCGTGGAACCCTTGGGGACCTTTTGCGGAACCTTAGGATTCCGGGGAACCCCGGTTGAGAAACAATGTCCTAAACCTTCCTGCGATCTTTATTTGGGTTGTAATCATCGGTTACGTGACCTACTAGATCATCAAGGTAACATGCTAAATCATTTATAGTATGTTGGGAGTGGGCAGTGACAATTTCTTGGTTGTGTCCATCCTATCTTCAAAACTGAAATTAAAATCGGGGATTTATCTACTCTTATTAAATGCATTGGAATAGCAAATGATGTCTTTCAAACGCTAAGCAAAGTATTAAGAAACAGGAAAATATTGTTCGAAACAAATAGGAGTACTGAACTGTTATGTAATCTTCCTCTATGGCAGTGAATATAAAACAATTTCCTCAAAGGGGAGACACTAAGCAAAAGAATTATCGTTCTACAGAAAAATGATAGGAATACAATGGACAGAACATGTAAGCAACGAGGAAGTTTTAAGGAAAATAGAATCAGAAAGATAGTGAAATTTATGAGATACATAATAAGGAAAGAGGGTTTAGAGAATTTAACACCCAGAGGACATATTAAGGGCAAGAGCGGTTGAGAGGAACAGCAAGTAACCTACTTAACGAGCTCGTTTAAACGAATAGCAGGGCAGGGACTTGGAGGGATAGTAAAGAGACAAATATTACTTAGAGCTACGAAGAATAGGAAGTTGTGAAGAGCCATGACCGCTCACGGCCTGAAACGACCCGACACATAAATAAGTTAATTTGATTCCAACAGTGATCTTGTGCTTATGCTTCGTAAATGTCAATCCAAAACTTTCTGAAAAATTACATTTTTTTGTCGCAGAAAGTATAAATTAAACTTTGATGTTAAGCAGTTTTTATGCTTTTTACACTGGAAGCAAATAAACCCAAGGAATTTGGCCGATCGTTTGGTATTTGTATCCAAGTACGAACACTTTATTAGTTAAAGGACTAAGAAAAGGAACTGATTATATTTTTTCAGTCAGAGAAGAACTGAAAGCACGCAGGTATTATAGGGATTTTCCAAGCGTAGCTTAGATATTGCACAAAGCCGAAAGTAGGGGGCACCCTGTGAGGATCGAACTCACTACTCAGTCGTAATTGTTTTAACGAGATAACCATTACAACACCCGCAGGTATTATACCATTGAATGGGTAACGTAATTGAAAGGGTAGAAAGAAAGATCTCAAAAGATTCTCAAAAAAACGTTGTCGGTATCAAATTTGACTTATCGACTCATAGAGAGGTTGAAAGCTCGCTGTCATCATACCATTGGACGCGTGGTTAAATACCAGTGAAAGAGCAAAAAGAGTTTTAGATTTCATTTTAATAGGCGATGAGTTGTATCATTTTCCTGCCTTGAGATCGTCTGTCAGCTTTGAAAATCAACATCAAATAACTTCGTTTTTATCTGGGATCAAACAATGATTGAAAAAAAAACAACTCTATCTGCCATTAAGCTTAATTTGAGTAAAAATAGTATGACACTCTCACACACGCTTAAAATAAGATGTTTTAAGCTTCAAAAATGTCTTCTCATTGATCCTTTAAAACAGTCTCTGAGTTGGATTTCTCTAGGATCAAACAATGTTTGAAATTAAACAACCCCCATCTGCCACTCTCTCAATTTGAACAAAAATAATATGACACTCTTGCAATAGGATGTTTTTGGGCTTGAAAAATGTCTCCTCGTTGACACTGTAGAACAGTCTCTGAGCTGGACTTATCTGCGATCAAGTAATGATTGGAAATAAACAATGCCATCTGCCACAAAGATCATTTTAAGCAAAAATAGTATGGAACTCTCATGTACACTCACAATAGGATGTCTTTGAACTTCAAGATGTCTTCTCACTGACATTTTAAAACAATCCCTGAGCTGTGTTTTAATGTTAGTTGGAATGTCATGAGGAATATTTCATGGCATGTTTAGGCCAAAGGGAATCAAATGAAATATGCATATATCCTATTTACATAACACGAGGTAAGGGATAACCAGGTTTCAGTAGTAAGAGCAGAAGTCAACCGTCATGACATGCTAGTAACGAGACTGAAGTCGTGTAAAAGATTACAGGATTCACGAATTTTCCCAACGGTGCGTCGTGAACACAATTTAGGCTGGAAATTGAATAATTCTTTCAGTGCATGTTAAAATCCAATTAGATAATTAAGTCATAATCATTTTTTTAATCCTCTGTCACTTCAGTGTATAGGCGATTATGGCTCTCCATATCTTCCTTTTATTTATTAACTGTAAATTGCCACGTCTTCTTGGGAAACTATTAAACTGGTTTCCTGTTAGCTTCTCTACGGTTCTGAATTCTGTGTTTTCATTCTTCCATCAGGACATAGGCGATCATGCCTCTCCACATCTGTATTATCCGTGATAGTAAAGTGGTTTCTCATTGCCTTTTCTACAGTGTTGGATTCAGAATTTCCATTCTCCCTTCAGGACGTAAAGGATCACGGCTCTCCATATCTTCCTTTTATTTAATTTCTGTGAACTTCCATGACTGTTTTGGGGAAAGTAGTGAAGTGGTTTCCTGTTGCCTTCACGGTTTTGAATTCAGAGTTTTTCTTCTAGACTCGCTGCCACGCAAGGCTAGAAGGCATAGTCTATTCTGCTATTTAACCCATATCTGGGAGGAGAAGAGATGGATTCATGTCTTACTCAAGGAGATAGGCATATATTCAAACTGTACACAATTATTTGACAAAATCTTCATTCAAATAAATTTCTAAAGCTTTTGTTCATTCAGTATTTAGAATATTTGAAAAGAACAAATATGGCATCAATCGTGTGATTAATAATAATAATAATAATAATAATAATATAATGAAAAGATATACTGATATTAACCTACATTTCTGTATTCCATACACACACGTACATAAATAAGTAGTATATATATTTACTTAAGCGTGGTTCAAAACTCCAAGCTTGGATCGAACTCATTACAATAGAAATAATCTGCGATATTTAGATAATAACAGTTCATTCTAGAATGGCAAGGTGCCACCGTGGTTACACTGAAGTAAAATGCTAAGCATTTATTTATAAGCGCATATTCGCTTGGTCGCTCATTCACTCTCCCCACACACGCATTGCATATCAAAGTACGTTGTTGATGGACTTCTGATGAAATAACCTAAACATCCCGAAAGATGAACTGCATTCAGAGAGTGTTGGCCTTCTCATTGGTAGAGTTGTATTAAGAGAATGGAATAGAAGCAGAGATAGATTAATTGATGAAAAAAATAAATTTGATATTTAGCTTTTAAATCAATTATTTTAGATCTTAATAGAGCCGAAGAGTCTGCGATGGATAGATAGATAGATAAAAAGAAAGAATGAGATAGATAGATAGATAGATAGATAGATAGATATGAACAGGCTGTGATAGATGGTTTGGTTTGGTTTATTTTGTTTTACGGTATATCAACCTCAATGGGTTATTTAATGCCGACAAGATTTTTAGGGTAGATTCGTATGAATAGAATATGTATTCTTTGGTTTAGATTGATTTGTTTTATTTTATTTTACGGCATATCAGCCACAATGAGTTATTTAATGTAGACAATTTTTTTTTTTATTGCTGGTAATATTTTGTTTTGTCAAAAATCTGTTTCTGGTAATATTTTTCCTTCAAAATTGTATTGCTGGTAATAATTTTTTTTAAAAAAGTATTGCTGGTAATAGTTAATTATTTTCCCATAGCTGGGAGCCTAACAGGTGCTACCACTCTGGGTCAGAGTGAACCTGGAATCACCAACAATTAAGAGGTGGTTTCACGCTCATCAAAACCTTCTGATCAGAGGCATTGCTGCTGGACGTAGTTTATCGTCTTACCCAGGACGTGGGTGTAGTTTAATGTCTTACACAGGACGCCAGACTGAGATAGATAGATAGATAGATAGATAGATAGATAGGAACACATTGAAATAGATAGATAGATAGATAGATAGATAGGAACACATTGAAATAGATAGATAGATAGATAGGAACACATTGAAATAGATAGATAGATAGATAGGTAGATAGGTAGGAAAACATTGAGATAGATAGATAGATAGGAAAAAATTGAAATAGATAGATAGGTAGATAGATAGATAGATAGGAACACATTGAAATAGATAGATAGGTAGATAGATAGATAGATAGGAACACATTGAAATAGATAGATAGATAGGAACACATTGAAATAGATAGATAGATAGATAGATAGAAAAGAACACACTGTGATAAATAGATAGATAGAAAGGAACACACTGTGATAAATAGATAGATAGATAGATATGAACACGCTGTGATAGATAGATATGAACAGATTAAGATATATATGAAGAGTATGAGATAGATATAAAATGATACAGATATTAACATACACCTTATATATTAAATATATATATTTCTTAAATATTGCTCACTTACTTTTGTCTTACCAGACTTTGTATTATGGCCTCTGTGCCCTCCACATGTTTTGAGTGACCTTTCAACCACCTGATGAATATTCATAAACGTTCTCAAATTTAAATGCTTTGATAAACCAATGATACCCTCGCTTTTGTATATAAACACGGGCAACAAAATAAATCCTACGTTTGCATTGATAAAGTCCCTCAGGGGACGAAACGCGTCAGCTAATAGTTTTTCCCCTTGTCTTTTTATTCATATGCATTTTTATGTATATTGCTTATTACTAGTGTAAAAACGTTATGTAAAGTGTTTGAGTAGAAGTCCATGTTTGGAATATTGACATCTATTTTATTAAAGAAAATGTGCCTCTCGACTGGTAGGTGTCAATTTCACTGTTATAAATAAGTAAATAAATACGAATGTCTATGTCTTATCAAACACGTGTGCTCACTGTCTAAATAGAATATTGATAGCAGTAAGAAAGAATGTCGGATTAAAAAAAAAAACATTAGTTACTTAGATAGATGAAGAAACTGATATAGATATGAACCGACTTTGATTCTTTTTTTATGCGCCATGTCCTTTAAGGACGTAGGCAATCATGGCTCTCCACCTCTTCCTCTATCCCTTGCAGCTCTCAACAAGTTTCCTCCCTCTGTTACCTCAGCCAGACCACGTTCTGTCAACCACTTTCTTAAGCCCGCTAGGTATGTCATGCGTTGGTTTCCTTTGTCTTTCTTCCCCCCTATTCGACCCGGGAGTATCAGATTCTCCAGGCCCTCCTTTCTCATTATGTGTCCCAGAAACTTCAACTGCCTCTTCCTGATGTTAAGTATAAGCCTCCTCCTTGTCTCTAAGACCTCATCGTTGCTCACACGCTCGGTTCATGATATCCTTAGCATTCTTTTGTAGAATCACATCTCCGTCGCCTCGAGTCTCTTCTTCATTCTTGAGGAAATCGTCCAACATTCTCTGCCATAAAGAAGGACAGATGGCACATAACAGCTCAGTATTCTTTTTTTTTGTTAGCAAAGAAATCCTCCTGTCTCGCAATACTCTGCTCAGCTTTTGGAATGCCATCCTAATCCGTCTACGGATCTCAGTGTCGCACTTAATGTCCTCTATCAAAACGCTTCCCAAATATTTAAACTTCCGTGTTTGCTTGATTCTAATGTTCCCGGCCTGCAAATCTCGTTTCGGGCTCATCCTTTTATTGATGACTATGCATTCTGTCTTCTTGTAGTTTATGCTTAGTCCCTTCTTCTTACTCTCCGTCGCTACCTTATGTAGGAAATTTTGTAATTTCTTTTTCGTGTCTGCTATCAATACTGTGACATCTGCATATCTTATGTCGTTAAGATTGTGGTCGCCAATGCTGAATCCCGGTAGGGTTTTCATTTCTCTCAGAATCGCTGTAGAGGTTGAACAGGTCGGGTGAGAAGACACAACCTTGCCTTACGCCCCTTTCTATTTTTGTATATTAGCTAAACTCGTTCTGTATGCGCATCCATGCTGTTTCCTGCCAGTATAGGTTCTTGATTATGTTGATATATTTCCTAAATATATCAAGGTTGCTGAGCAGTTCCAGCAGATCCTTGTGGCGTACTTTGTCAAAGGCCTTTGCGTAGTCTATAAAACATAGATACACGTTCTTCTGCATTTGTACATACGTAATAAATAGTGAGTTCGATCCTCCCTGGATGTCCCATACTTTATGCTTTAAAAATCGCCATACATACATGATGGTCGCCACATCAATTATGACATTATTGTAAAATTCATTTATGCCTTGAACATACCAACATTCTAATGAAAAAAACTGGGATAGGCAGACCTAAAGATAAAGACGTGAAATGACAAAAATATACAGATATGAACACACGCATATTATATATGAAGACCTATGTAATAGTTTTTTTTTTAATCCGACGAAATAGATATGAAAAGATAAAGAATGCACTTGTGTGCAGCCATCTTTATCATGCTGAACTGTAATTCAATTTCAAGTTTCATTTCGTTTTGTTCTTACCAACGATTTTTTAAAATTGCGATTAAACAATAAAGGCTTCAACACATTTCCTTCTTTTTCTGTTACAGACTTAATTTTAATAAGCGATGACACAGAGTATGGGTTATGAGAATGAATTAGCCTTTTACTGCCAAACCTCCATAGTTAACCGCGGTAGTTTGGTCCCTCGCAGATGTTTGAGATCCGCAAATAATATTAACCACCCACAGGTGTAACTGAGAACAAATTATAATAAAAATATTTCAATATAAAAGATCAGTACATTTTCAATAATAATAATAATAATACCTGAAGCTCCCACCGCAAGGAAAATTAAGTTACAAGTGAAAGCTGCTTATATGAAGACTCTTGAACCAAAATGGAGATCTAAACGTTTATATGTAAAGCATTCATAGCGTCTGGATGAACGAGACATCGATGTTCGCCAAACCCATCAATGGCTTAGAAGCTGTGGTTTTAAGGGGAAGACATAAGGCGTTATTATATCAGCACAAAAGCAATGTCTTCAGAAGTAGAAATCAACGAACTGAGTTCGTTACATTCCCCTTCGCACAAATCAGTCAGTCAAGTGCCACATATGTGATACACGTTTGGGCGATCATGTCTCTTTCTATTCGTGACTAAGTAGATGATTTTTTCCCGCAGTAGGTTGTAGTTTATTTCTGCGGTAGACTGGTTGCAACCTATAGCTGCCGGGGTTGAAGGAGATGGATTCATACCTTTACCAAGGATATTTGTTCATAAGTGAATGTAACGAACCAGACTAGAATTCAGAACTTGGATCCGTTACACCACAACGCACATCTTTTTCACAAATGCGCTTACGATAAGTATGAATGCATTTCTTTTCTGAGCAGAGTAGATTAGGTTCTTTAGTCTTGGTTGGCAGCCAGTCTAGAAGGAGTCCATCTCTGAATTCAAAACCCGAGGAAGACTGTTTGAAAACTTCGTTGCACACTGGGCACCATTTCTCTTTTATTAGTTCTTCCGAAATGTGTGGCTGGTACTATACATGCCTTCAGCGACTATAATCAAATCATATATATAAAGAAACCAATCATTCAGTTCTATGAACAGAATTGTTAAACACTTATAAATGCAAAATCATCGAGAGAGTGCACTATATATTGTTTCAAATTTACCATTTTGCCAGGCTGCTGTTTGTAACAAAATATTATGGGTTATTGGTGGGGAGGTCCAACATCTACTGACATGCAATCAAGGCCTACCTCTAAAACCATCATGCCTACATTATAAAATAGGAGCTATTACTTTCAGAGAGACACTCGTACTTTTAAATTAAGTAGATTTTATTACATGCCAACACATGTTGGATTTTGTATGAGGCACCCAGTGCGGATCAAAGAATTTGTAATGGTCACCCAATATTAAGATGAGCAGACGGTGTAGCAGCTATTGGCGATGGGGGTGAAATCGGTGAGCCGAGTTCAAATTCCTATCGATTCTGTTTCGTTCACTTCGCACTAAGGCCCTGGGGAAAGGCATGAATCCATTTTCTCCCCAGCTATAGGTTAAATAGGCCGTGTTTTCTTGCCTTGGGTGGCAGAAGGAAAACTCTGAATTTAAACCTTAGGAGAGGTGTATGGAGACTTCCTTGTACACTCTGTACTATTTCTCTGTTAACAGTTCTTCCAAAAAGTGTGGCTGGTTCTATACATGCCTTCACCACTATAATCAAATTATCTGTGTAGGTAGTCTCTCGAAAAGTTACATGAATTAGGTTGTTTGGCACCCATACCTCATAATATATATATATATATATATATATATATATATATATATATATATATATATTATATATAATGCATGTCCCATTAAATAATATAGACAAGTTTTCTTTATTTTCAGTAAGTTCCTTTCATATTGTCTGATAAGCTTAATCACATTATCGTTGAAAGACGAAAGGAAAACACCATATTGATACACGTTTAAATCTAATCTAAGCTTTCGGCTTACATAAGCCATTATCAAAGATGACAATTTCATTAAATCAAACAACACACGGACGAAACAATGATAGTCCGCCCTTGCTGCATGAAAAATTTCCAAGTAACGACAAACTCGTATATACGAGACGCGGAAGCGAAAATCGCGTCACAGTATAAACAATATATATATATATATATATATATATATATATATATATATATATATATATATATATATATATATATATATATCAGCTGCCATACAGCGTAGACAGAGTTCAAAAGCGCTTACGCGGACTTGTGGGTGATTAATTATTCTCCACCCTGAAATCCTTGTCCCACAGACGAAGCGTACTGTCGTTAGACTCTTACTACTTTATCACGATTACTATGGCAGATTTTCTTTAGTTCCACTAGCTCAGACATTCACCCCCACCCAAATGCCATGTTCACGGTGGCAAACTGTCCCTATTCCCTTAATATTCCTTTGCTAAGGAGCAAGTTCCACTCAGACAACTTCTCCAGAGCTGTTGCTTTACGGATGCTTCCCTGACATCTGTAATCTTGGTCTTTTTAAGTCCAGAGTTAACCGATATATATCCTAGGCGTCCTCACTTCTTACTTCCTCCTCCCTCCTCTCTTCCAACAAGTCCCACGCAGTAACCCTCTGCCTTGAGTGGCTCCTGGGTCTTGTATTGCGTGAACTAGCAGTAAAAATAAAAATAAAGAAAATTTACTAACCCTTACTCCACAACTTGGCACGAGTTACACACGCCTACATACACACACACACACACACGCGCGCGCGCATATGCATGTGTATATGAGAGGGAGATATACTGGGAGAGGAGAGAGAGAGGAACTTGTTTAACTGTGTCAAATGTTATCTTTCGAAAATGTAAACCTGTAT